TTTATGATATAACAGGAACAGCATAATGGAGTCTGATTATTTCGCAAATTCTCCACTTTCTATTCAATATTGAATTCTTATGGAATGCCGGAAACGTGTTTGATCTATAATCATATAATTTATACTTATACATTTTTTTCTATATATATTTATGTATCTCATATCTGTTTTTTTTGTCATATTATTTCACGAATAAATGATATTATTATTATTATTATTATATGCTGCCTCAAAATCTTCTGATACCAGCATAAATTTTTTTTAATCTATACTAATATTATAAAGAAGAGAGATTTGATTGTTTGTTTTTTTTTTGTTTTGTATGTATTGAATAGCCTCCGAAACTACTGGATCGATTTGGCTGAAAATTGGTGGGAAGGTAGCTTTTTATCATGGTTCCTATTAGGAAATTCAAGATGGCGGATCTATTATATTGGGCGAGTTTTGTAATTATGGTTCGATTCTATTCAAAATTGGTATCCGGGGGAATTTGGGCCAGAGATTATGATTCTTTCGTCAGAATTTGAAAATTCGGGCGGAATTTGGAAATTCATGATGGCGGAACCAATATGGCGGACGAGTTTTGTGATTATTATGATCCGATTCTTCTGAAAATTGGTACCTAGGGGTTATCGTGTTCGGGGATTATGATTCCTTCGTCAAAATTTGGAAAATTCAAGATGGCGGCTCCAAAATGGTGGATTTTGTAATTAGGATCCGATTTCATTCAAATTTGGTATCTGGTGGTTCTCGGGGTCAGAGATTATGATTCTTTCGTCAAAATTAGGAAATTCAAGAAGACGGACCCAATATGGCGTGCGAATATTGTGATTATGATCCGACTATCTTCAAAATTTTCATCTGGTTGTTCTCGGGGTCGGAGATTGTGATTTTTTTGTCCAAATTTGGAAAGGGCGGGTCTTGGAAATTCAGGACGGTGAATCCAATATGCCATGCATACGAGTTTTGTGATTAAACCAATTCAATTCAAAATTTCAAGTGAGAGTTTTCGGGATCAAAAATGATGATTCCTTCGTCAAAATTAGGGAATTCAAGATGGTAGATCCAATATTGCGTTTTGTAGTTATGTTCTGATTCTTTTCAAAATTCTCATCTGGGGTTTTAGGAGTCGGATATTATGATTCTTTCGTCAAAATGGGGAAATTGAAGTGAACTAAAAAGAAGTTGAAATGAATGGTAGTTTGAAGAACTAGAGAAAAACGCTTTCATAGATAGCGAAACTAAGTAGAAAATGAAATAATAATAGTGTCTTGATAAATATTGAACTGGATAAATATAATATAGAAATAATTTATTTAGCAAAACAACGTTTGCGCGGTCTGCTAGTAAGAATATGAATTTCAACGCTTCTACTTCAAAATTCAACTATCGACTATTTAACAGTGTATCTCGAATCAAATAAATCATGTACTGCAAGTGTTGTGAGTTCAAGTCGAACACCTTTATCTCAATAACTTTCAAAATTTCCCATAGTCATGAAATATCGCTGCCTTCCTGATGTACGATCACGAATTCAAAGCCATACTTACTCTTCGTCTAGCTAGAGTTTGGATTCTCCGCGATCGGAATTTGCCTATAGTAACGTTTATAGAGCTGAGAACAAAATGTCGGAAGGTTCTTCGATGGAAAGTGATGTGGCAGCTTTCATACTGGAAGTTATTATCCTTCAGAAGCTATTGATTCATTCTTTGTTCACCTGAATATCACGGAATTATGGACCCAATCTCAGATAAACATCATATTTATTCTCATATGCAACATGACGAAGAGACATATTGGTTAGTTTCTGCTTTCTTGTAAAAACTTTCATTCAGGTATACTGGGGTGCATGTTCTTAAAATATTCACATCGAATTATGAATCATCCTGTATAGTCAGAGTTGGAAGAATTCCTCATAATATACGATCGTTGAATAACACTCCAAGACATAGCTCTGCTATTGATTATTCAATTTTGAAAAACAAAATAGCAAGTGAAATCACTCATCAATACATAATTCAGAAAATATCTCGCCCAAACAAAATCTCACAGAGAATAGTTGAAAGTCGCTCACGTTGAAGTGAAAATTTGAAAAAATATTGATCATATATAGTCTGCTCAAAGTTGGTATCCGGAGAGTAATTTCATTAGCTTTTTTGGTTTTGAAAATCAGATAATTAATAACGGTGCTATGACTTGGGTGAATATCTGCCAGTCAGCTTGTATACTCACCTCAATGTCGTAAAAAAACTGAATCGACCTGTAGCAACTTCAACTCTTCAACGAACTACTTGAAGTCATAGGTTAATTTCCTCAGAATATCTATCGTCCAAACTACAAAACCATTCTGACTGACCGAAGATTGTTGTGGGTTGAATGAACCTTGAAATTAATTCTATATAGTGGATATTTCATGTTCCACATGAAAAAAGAAATCAAAGAATTCATACACACATCTATGAGATTTTCTCCTTTCGCTCACCGTATCCTCAAATGGGGAATTGGGGAAAATTGTGCAATAAGTGGGAAAAGTTAAACTTTTCTCACGAGTGCGAAAGTTTGTGGCACGAGCCTGAAGGGCGAGTGATGCAAACACACGAGTGAGAAAAGTGCTTTTTCCCACATGTTGCACACTATACTTTTTCTACAACTGCACTTATTCAAAGAATCCGAGTGATGTAACTCATTCGTATTGATTTTATAATGTGGCACTATGCCACATTGCATATTGTGACCTAGCAGTAGACGACTTTCCTAGTTCCTCAAAGTATTTCAAAAAAGTACACTTTCCGAGAAAGATTTGCCAATACATACTTTTTTATTGAAATTTCCGGAAACAAATCCAACTATCGCAGCTTTTGGAATCTCTGTCTCTCGGTCTATACATGATATTATTTATTATGAATTATTATTGAAATGATATTTGATGAAAAATGCGATTTTTATCAAAAGCATGAGGAGTACCCTAAAGAATTTGAAAAACTTCTGACAGTTGTGACAACTATTCAAAGCTGAACAGCAGCCAAGTTTTGATCGACTTTTGTTGATTCTATATTGAAATGTATGTGGTGTTGGCAAAGTGCCGTGAGAAAAAAATTGCAGCCATCTGAGCAATATTGTGAGAAAGTGAAGAGGAAATTAATGAAATGAGCATTGAACGCAGTTGATTGAATAAGAGTTTCTAGATTCACTTTTCTATAAATCTTTTTACGGGAAGTGTTCTTCAAAAATCTCTGCTCTTAGTCCATCATCAACGATGCCAGTCAGACAAAATTGACAAGCCCTAATTTTCGGAAAAGTATATTTTTCAGGTCGAGTAAGGTTGGATTGTTTAGAAAAAGTATTTTCCTTGAAATTATAACACCTAGATATTTGATTTCATCAATAGGCAATATAGTGAAGCCATGAGCTGTTATTGATGATTTGATTTGACTTTCAAGTTTGAGTCATCTATTGTATCTTCTTGATAGTATAGTATTTGATCTCGATCTGTAATCTGATCTGTTCCTTTCCATCTTTCATTTTCGGCTTTCATTAGCTATAATTGTCTCATGACCTACGTATTTCAGAGGTGTTTCAATGCGCTGTATATTATTATTTCAAGTTTGCATACATGAATATGAAGTTTGTCATCAAATGTGTGAATCGTAAATTTTGAATTGTTATTTCTTCAATTTAGTACAATATACTCGAATCTAGTACAATTTCGGAATGACCCAATCAGCCAAAGTACGTCTTAAAGGCGTCTTTAAGACGTACATGTCGGGACATAAGTACGTCTTAAAGACGTACATATTACGCCCAAGAGACGTCTTTAAAACGTACATTTTCCACTAATATGTACGTCTTATTTAAGACGTCTTTTTTAGGTGTTTTTGGTCCATGACCTCAAATTGATCTTTCAAATTACGGAAAAATCACATAGTTTCAGTTAATTTTCACCTGTGCACTGAAGTTAGCAACAAGTGCAGACAAGCAAAAAAAAAGGGAAATAAACGACTTCATCAAACGGTAGACACAAGCTTTTACTTAGTTTAACATGTCCTTGTGTCTGTTTGTAATCAAAACGTGCAAGTTAAATTTGACTCACTTTGAATCGTCCGATTGATTTGAAATTTGGCAAGTAAATATTATTCCGGTGACAATTCGTTGTGATATTATTATTGAATGGAAAAAACAGAATGGCGGATCCAATATGGCGGACGATTTTCTCATTGATTATGTTCCGATTCGAATTAAAATTCAATATTCAAGATGGTGAATCCAATGTGGCATATGGTTTTCTGATTATGGTCTGATCTGATTAAAAATTGGCATCTGCAGAATTTCGCGATCAGAGATTATAATTCCTTTTGTCGAAAATGAAAAATCCAAGATGTCGGCTTCAAAATGGCGGACGAGTTTTGTGATTATAGTCCGATTTTATTCAAAATTGATTACTATGGGACTTTTGGGGTCGGAGAATATGATTTTTTTGTAAAAATTCGAGAATCTAACACGAAGGCTTCAAAATGTCGGACGAAAAAATTCAAAAACATCACTTTTGTTGAAAATAAGAAAAAACTGAACAATCGAAAATAAAAAACGTGAAGAGATGACATTTTGTTTTTCTTCAGAAAATACCTTACATTATTGTTCTATAAGTCGAATTGACGTACTGGAATGTACGTCTTCAAGACGTCTTTTATACGACAAGGGAGGAACGACGTGGATACGACCTGAAATGTACGTCTTAAAGACGTAAATTCGTGTACGTCTTTAAGATGTCCATGGATTTACATCTTAAAGACGTACTTTATACGTCCCTGGACGTAAAGACGTAAGTTAGTCGTAAAATGTACGTCTTTAAGATGTCTGGTGCTGATTGGGGACTTCTAGTACAAATTGAAATTCTGGAACGGCATCATCAGTCGCACTCGGTCTGCACGCGAGCCATCTCCCCCTCTCGTTTCCCCCTTTTTTTGCTCGAGTCACCAACATCCCTGATGGTTGTGTTTCAGGTGCTCTGACCAAATCCCAGTTCCCCGTCTTCACAATCTATGCGCAGAAAAGCTGCCTGGGGGTGAAACCTTGCGAGAGAGCCTGGTGCATAGACAGAGTGCAAAATTACCGATTGGTAGGTTATGTGCGGACGAGTCAGGCCGTCGCCTCCCGTCAAGAATGTCTCGAGCTGTGCCTGGGGGAAAGCGAATTCTCTTGCAGGTAAGAAAGATAATGGTAATTTTTAGTGCACATCATCATCATGTATTTACGGAAGCGTATTGGGGCCACCATGAAAAATTTTTTATCTTGAAATTTCAACATAGCTAAGTCGAAATTTCAACATACTAAGTCGAAATTTCAACATACTAAGTCGAAATTTCGACATATATATCTTGAAACTTCGACTTGGCTATGTTGAAATTTCAACTTACTAGCTTGAAATTTCAACATAGCTAAGTTGAAATTTCAAGATATTAAGTTGAAATTTCAACATTCTAATTCGATAGACGTGGGACTAGGAAATTAAGAGCTAACCGAACAGTTTCTTGAGTGACCGATGATCCATCTCGAATGCATCCACTTGTTACCATGTAGTTGTCCATACTTTCCGATTTCATCGGTCAAAAAATCCAAGAGTTGTTCAAGTTGTGTATATTTTTTTCCACCATCACTAGCTATAAAATCATAAAACCTACCATTATTTACTCCTTTTCGAGGCGTTAATTGTGTTTTTCCTAATAAAATAGTAGATTTCGTCATTTTATTAACTACTGGTCAATAATGACATAACCACCTTTGTTATATAATTAACCCGAATTCACTGTTCTGATACGAGGTTCTCAATAATGGCCCTCGAATCTAGTAGGTATTTATCATTGTCATATGCTGTCATGGTTATGGCTACTAGATTTATTTAATTGGAATTGAAGAGAAGTGCTTTCATAGTGACAATAGGTTTAATGTATTACCAGTGATGAAAAAAATTTGATATACACCTTAGTATAGTGAAGGATATTATTACCACGGGACCTAATAACCCTCGGCTGAGCCTCGGGATATGATCTTGGTCCCTGGGTAATAATGATATGCTTTACTACCTTGGTGTATAAATAACTATTCTTCTGTACAACTCCATTTTTCTGAGGCCCTTCTCAATGTTCTCCTGTTTGTATGGATTTTATGTCTCTCAGAAGGAAAAAGGAAAATTTCACTCTGGCTGAATCCGAGTAGAAAGTAGAATTTGATTAAATCATATACATATTTGCTAAACATAACTCGTGTCGATCGTTTGTTTAGAGCATGTACATTGTACAACCGTCGTACTAATCTCATCAGTTATACATTTCATATAGGTATCGAAGTTATGTCGGAATTTCGACATGATTATGTTGATATCTCGACTTAGCTATGTTGAAATTTCAACTTAGCTATGAAGAAATTTCAAGATAGTAAGTTGAAATTTCGACAAAGCTAAGCCAAAATTTCGACTCACTATCTTGAAATGTCAACATAGCTAAGTTGAAATTTCAAGATAAAAAAATTTTGATGGTGGCCCAAATACGCTTCCGTATGTATTCAACTGCTCAATAGTGGAACGTGAAACTCGCTGAAACCAGCGATGGGTTTTTAGTAGCGATCCTTCGTACTCAAATCTAGTACGCAATTGTAACAGATTGTACTAGATTCGATATGTGATGAAAAAATGATATAGAAATATTGAAAATGAATCTCCATTTGCTTAGTATGCTCAAGCATAGGGCCTCGAGCCTTGCAGGATATTCGAAATGCAAACTGAAAATAATTCAGCCGTATTTACCTATAGAATATTTTGACAAAAACTGAAAATAACTGATTTCGTTCTCATTTGTTTTCTCAGTTGTCATTTCGGGAATGGATTTTCAGGTTTGCGTGTATAATAGCAGGTAATTCATTATGACAAAGAAGTTGAGATTGTCAGAAATATTTTCATCTTCATTATTTTCAGAATTTTTACCATGCAACATATGTGTTTCTTATATGCACCATATTTGTTTTCAAAACATTGAATTGGGATATAATGATTCCCTTCACAGCCATATGTATATCGACAATGTATAAATAATAGTGCATAGAACCAGTAAAAACAATGTTTTGCTGGTTGTGGTAGACCATGCTAATAAGAAATCAAAATATCAGTCGTCATGACATGTAGCCATGGTGATCAAATCTCTAAAGATAATGAAAACATTAGGTAATATTTTTTTCTGATAATTCCAACTTCTTTGTCATGGTTATTCACCTGTTATATCGCAACATTTGGAATTTTGGTTTCAGATATTGACGATGACAATAATCTGAATTTATTTCTGTTTGTTTTCGAGAAAAAATATTGGGTGGTATTATTTGGTGAGCGGAAAAAATGACAGGAGAAATAAGGAAAGGGGCTGCAGGGGCTCCAAGGATTATTGAGCCTAGGGCCCCAAAAATCATAGATCCGCTGCTGTTCATTTTTGTAGTTTTGAAACGATATGAACACCATTAAACACTCAATAACTACTATAACGAAAAATGGAACGAGATGAATAACTCGGTCAATAATGAAAATGTGAAATAAAACAAAATAAATACTTCTGACAGGAATAGAAGGTGAATTCTTATAAATTGAGCACGTTAAGGTTGAACCATATTCATCAAAAGTTTATGTAAATTGCGAAAAAAAGCTCAGACACTTCAATAATTGTCTTTTTCAAACGCGGATTCGTTTGTCTACTTATATTCGTGATGACGTCATCATTATAAATTGCATCATTCTGGATGAAATCGGTGGAAGTACTGGATTTTTGAGGTTTTATCAGTTTTCGTATTTCCGTACTTAGCAAGGTGTGATAGTAATAGATTCAGTACAATTTCAATAGCATTCCCAACGCTCACATAATTATTGAGGTAGGGTTCTGAAATTTGCCGGAGGAAGAGAAAGTCCAAAGATAAAGTCAATTACGTGAGATGCGGGGGTGCTTCCATAAAAATGCGACAAAATTTCATTTTTCCGAACTGAAAATTTTCCAGGAAAAATTTGAATAGTTAGTGAATTGGGCGTCCTGATTCCAAATCTGAAGTAATTTTCGACCTATTTTGACTCCTAATATCATTTTCCGGAAATTGGGGTAGTTTCATGGTTGTTGGCGAGCAGTGTATATCACTGAAGATGACCCCACTTGGTCATAGAGTGCATTTTTGGTATATCTCTCGCTCCAGCAAATTTCAGGATCCTTTCCCAACGATTACGTAAGATACAGGGGTGGTTCCATTTTAAATGGGTCACACTGTATAATAGCTATAATATTCAAGTTTATCCCAAGAGATAGAGAGCGAATGTGAAAAAAATACCACATCCTTAACCAATTGAGTAAACAGAGTTCCGTCACCACACATAAATAAGTGACTTAATGAAATCGCATTTCCTGTAGGGGTATTGATTCACTTCGTTTGTTGATCAGCGTAGAGATGATATCAAACCGATTTCTTTATAAGGCCTGAGCGCACTAAATCTAGTGTAGGAAAGATGAAACACTAATGGCAGACTGCGGCTATCCTTGGGCAACTGTGGAAGTACGGAAAGTGTCAGAACAATCACGTTTTCTTCACCGTCCTCCAACAAAACGACCGAGAATAAAAAGCTGATCGAATGCATTGTTTCGTTGAGGAATCATGAGGCCTTCCGACACTTTCATCGAAGCCCCTGAGGCTGACAATAAACAAATACCTGTCATGCTTCTCAAAGTGTAGCGAAACTCGCTTTTCCGGTAAAATCTAGATCGATCTTGAATGTGACTTGTACCATTATAATAATAGGATGGTTTATTACTGATGCGATTCACTTCATTTTCTCTGATAGGTTTATTATTTCCTGGCAAAAATAAAAGGATTCAAGAAAAAGAAGAAGAAGGAAAGCCCAAATTCGTCTCCATACTTTTTTATAGTGATGTAACAATTTGTCAAAGCTTCCCAGCAAACATTTTGATATAGGGCATCAATGGCCTAATATATTTGTCCCATACCTGTGGCCCAGTAAATGGTCCCATATGCGGGACTCTATATATCAGTACACTGCGGCCGGCAGCTGGCCCCAGTGCTGGGTACCCAGCGATCATATTCAGTTCCCCGGCAAAAGGCCAGTACAACATAATCGACACATTGACTTTCCCATAGCAAGCCCAGCACATACATAAATGATGGGACTGTAATGGCCAATTAACGACATTGGTTACATACTATCGAGGTAGGGGAGGGGTAGGGGTTTTAGGGGTCCAATGGATCTGAAAGTTCTAGTTCCTTTTTATTTCACAATATAACCCTATCATCATAAATCAGACACACCAGATTTCAAGAAAACAATTTTATGAATGACAATGATATCTTCTTAACCTCTCTGTTCTTCAACGATGAAACTTCTCGGAGTGACTGCTTACTGGTTGGTATGTGTTATCTACATCTTATTGGGTAGCTTTCCTTCAAAGTTGATTCTTCGTTGTGATGTACTTCTGAATTATGAAATGCATCATTTGTTTTATATAAGTGGCCTATGAGTTGCATGAGTTTATAACTTGATAATATAGTCTGATGACGTGATAACATGGAGCTTTTCAATTCTCATTATTTTCTTGGCACAGGTATTTCTGTAGCTGAAACCTTATTGTTATTCAGTTCTTTGATATAGAGATAGGTTCACATAACCTGGGATTGCTTTTGATAGCAACAAACGAGTTAAAAATGATAGTTGCTGTTGGAGAAGTATAGCCAACTTCAATTATTATGATCATTAGGTATACGAGGTTACGATCCCAGACAGCACCAGATATTCCATGAATATTCATTGCATATTCTTTTTGGATATTGCGAATATTCATGAACATGCCAGGGATATACATATGGAATATTCCCTGAATGTGCTGGTGGGGAAAATTTTATATATGCCCGGAATATTACACAAGGAATATTCCCTATATATTCAGAATGTACCTATAATATTCTAGGAATATTCAGATAATATTCAGAATATTCCAGGAATAATACAGGAATATAAATAAATGAATATTCCGGGAATATTCCTAAATACATATTCA